CAAAAAAAAAAAAAAAAATTAGCCAGGGGGCAACCCCTTCATGTCCCCTCCCACTGTGGGAGCTTTTCTGTCCTCTTAATAAATCCTGCTTTCCCAAAATAAAATTAAAAATTTAATTTAAGTTAAAAGAAATAAATTAACCAGTTATGGTGACGTGTACCTGTAGTTACAGTTATTTGGAAGGCTGAGGCAGAAGGATCGCCTGAGCCCACTAAGTTGAGGTTATAGTGGCCGTAAGTATGCCACTGCACTCCAGCCTGGGTGACAAAGTGAGACTTCAACTCAAAAAAAACAACTTCAGAGGCAGGCAGTAAATATGACACTTTATTAGGGACTCAAAATGGAAATGACCAACCCAATCTTATAGCCCTCTTCACTGAACTTGGCTTTAGAACACTACCACCTGTTTCCAAAATTCAAATCAAAACACTTCAAAAGTATAATGATATATAACTATTAAACACAGCATAAATGTATCCAAGACTCATAGGGCATTCCAAGAATTCCAAAAATTACTGGTTATATCACTATAATAAATGAATACCTCCTCCCTAGATGAAAAAAACTTATGTGAATGTATAAGTTCTGGTGCAGTTTTTCATTTACTTTTTTTTTTTTAAATTGGAGTCTCACTCTGTCGCCCAGACTGGAGTGCTGCGGCATGCTCACAGCCGCCGCAGCCTTGACCTGCTGGGCTCTGGCGATCCTTCCGCCTCAGCCTTCCAAGTAGCTGGAACTACAGGTACACACCACCATGCCCAGCTAATTTTTTGATTTATTGTAGAGATGAGGTCTGGCCAAGTTGCCCAAGCTGGTCTCCAACCCACAGGCTCAGGCAATTCTCTCACCTCAGCTTTCCAAAGTGCTGATTATAGGCGTGAGCCACTGTGCCTGGTCTACATTTACTTTTAAAAGTCAGTCACGTTACTTTTTTTTTCTTGTTTTCCAAACTATAGTGTTGCAACGTACAGCTATACATTAACCCCCAGAATTCTGCATTTAACCCATTGATTAATGCCACAACTAGACTCTTTTTTCCCCCAAGAACCATTTGTAAAATGCTTATCTCTAGAATGTACGTCACTTCTGAATAGTGAAAAACAGTTCCTATTCTGCCTATACTCTCTCAAATGGGAGAAGCAGAGGAATCTGCCTTCAAACACCAACCTAAGTACCAGGGAACAGGGCTCCAGGACATTGCTCAGCTGCAGGTCCCTTCTGACCCTCTTTCCTGCCCCTCAGAAGGTTTACATTCCAGCCAAAACAGGAAGCTTTGTTGCTAAACTGCAACACTGGAGGAATCATTTTTTTTTCTGTGTAATCTACAGGTTTATTTTAAGAGAAAAAGACAGGCCTGAAATAAGCAAAAATTTTGAACTATATTAATATCCTGATCTTGTGATTTAAATCTGAGATCTGACCTAAATAACAAAGGGAAAAGGGCAAGATACTTATTTATTTCAGGGAAGCACATAACTTTAGAAGACCTACCCTCTTTGTCATTTCCAAAAAAAGAAGTGTGCTCTTTTTTGAAGTGAGGATGTCACCATTACTCAGTTAGGATTCCAGGAAGGAGGACTATTCTCCTTCTACCCAATAAACATGATCTACTCTCCATAAAGCCAAAGTTTGGTACACATTTGTTTAGTGTGCTAGACATTGCCAAAGCCTCAATGCCTGGAAAATGCCAGCATCTTGGGGATGTATCAAATGGTTAGAGCAATGCCAGTACACAGAAGTACCACAGACGTTATTACAGTATTAATATTTCTAAGAATCCAACCTCTCCATTTTGCCCTCGTCACTAAACATTATTTGAACAGAAAATTACATAAAAATCTGTCTTTTGTTCTAAACACACGAACTTTCAGAGCTTGGATATACAGTTCAAGACCACAGCCTTCTTAAAACACAAAAATATGCTTTTTGTATTTACTCTCTTTAATAAGTAATCATCAGCCGGGCTCAGTGGCTCAGCCTGTAATCCCGCGCCTTTGGGAGGCTGAGGTGAGTGGACTGTCTAAGCCCGTGGGTTCAAGACCCACCTGGGCAGCAAGACCTCCTCTCTACAGTAAATCAAAAAATCAGCTGGGCGTGGTAGCGCATGCCTGAAATTCCGGTTACTTGGAAGACTGAGGCGGAAGGATCGCTGAGCCCAGCAGGTTGAGGCTGCGGTGGCCGGGAGCGGCCACTGCACTCCAGTCTGGGAGACAGAGTGAGACTCCAACTCAAAAAAAAAAAAGTAATCATCAGGCTGGGTGCGGTGGCTCACGCCTATAATTCCAGCACTTTGGGAGGTGGAGGCGACAAGATTGCCTGAATCCAGGGGTTCGAGACCAGCCTGGGCAACTTGCGAGACCTCATCTCTATAATAAGTCAAAAACTTAGTGATGGCATGTGCCTGTAATTCCAGGTGCTTGAAAGGCTGAGGCGGGAGGATCGCCTGAGCCCCGCAGGTTGAGGCTGCGGTGGCTGTGAGCATGCCACTGCACTCCAGCCTGGGTGACAGAATGAGAATCTAACTCGAAAAATAAATAAATAAGTAATCACCTACAACGTGCCTCATTAAAATAAGAATATTCTTAATAAGCGGGGCTCGTTAGCTCAGCCTGTAATCCCGCGCCTTGGGAGGCCGAGGTGAGTGGACTGCCTGAGCCCGCGGGTTCGAGACCCACCTGGGCAACTCGGCAAGACCTCATCTCTACAACAAATGAAAAGAATTAGCCAGGAGTAGTAGCGTGCGCCTGTAGTTCCAGCTACTTGGAAGGCTGAGGCGGAAGAACTGCCTGAGCCCAGCAGGTCAAGGCTGCAGTGGCTGTGAGCATGCCACTGCACTCTAGCCTGGGTGATAAAGTAAGGCTGACTCAAAATAAAACAAAACAAAATTTATGCTACTGATAACCAAGTCTAATCATTATTTCTGAGTCAGAGTCTCACTCTGTCACCCAGGCTGCAGTGCAATGGCATGCTCATGGCCACCGCAGACTCCACCTGCTGGACTCAGGCGATCTTTACACCTCAGCCTTCCAAGTAGCTGGAACCACCACACCTGGTTGATTTTTTGATTTATTATAGAGACAAAATCTCGCCATGTTGTCCGGGCTAGTCTCGAATCCCTGAACTCAGATATTCCTCTCGCCTCTGCCTGCCAAAGTGCTGGTGCTGGGGTTACAGGCATGAGCCACTGCGTCTGGCCTAATCATTTTAATTTTTTTTTTTTTTTGAGTTGGAGTCTCACTCAGTCTCCCAGGCTGGAGTGCAGTGGCATGCTTACAGTCACTTACCCCAGCATCGACCCGCTGGGCTCCAGCGATCCTTCTGCCTCGGCCTTCCAAGTAGCCGGAAATACAGGCGTGCACCACCACACTGGCTAATTTTTTTTATTTTATTGTAAAGATGGGGTCTCGCCATGTTGCCCAAGCTGGTCTCAAACCCATGGACTCAGGCAACCTCTCACCTCGGCCTCCCAAAATGCTGGGATTACAGGCTTGAGGCACCACGCCTGGCCCATTTTAAATTGTTATTTGCCTGGTGTCATAGATATATTTTCACAGAACAAAAAATACTGTTTATTTAAAGGGGAAATTGATATAAATTACATAGCAAATAGAGCCACCGATCAACTACATGCCCACTCACACAGTAAAAGTACTTTTGCTGCTCAACTACTGAGTTTTCTGATTTTAAATGTCCTGCCAGAGAATTTTTACAATGATTCTCTTATCATTATACAATCTCTTTCAGTAAAATTGAGAGTGCCTGGATCAATGTCTCTACTTTTTATCTACAGAAATTTGAGACAATTTAACACAGATCTAGAATCTGAGACAAACTGGTACCTCATGGTGTCTGTAGAATCGGGGAAGGCCTCATCTCACATCATACCAGAAGGTGGGCAAACATTTTGAACAACTCTGCTGTGAGGTCATGACGATGACCTCACAAACAGGAATTCTGATGCTAGTCTGCATCTAGGATGCAACCTCGCCACTTTAAAGAAAAATCAGAAAGTTCTGGATCCCTAAATCTGGAGCTCATGACTCAAGAGATGTACTTCTTTCCAAGAAAGCAACCTCCCATCTGAGATGAGCAGCATCCTTATCCACTGCTGACCAGGATAAGCAAGGTGGGTAGCAGAGAAAAGCACACCCACGTAAATAGCTCAACACCAGTAATGTATGTGCACATACTTCAGGTTTGCAAGTTTTTATTTTGGTTCAGTTCCAAACACTTTTTCCTAGCATTCACTTCTGGAAAATTAAGCTATATTTAAAAATTCTGAAGGCCGGGCGCAGTGGCCCAAGCCTGTAATCCCAGCACTTTGGGAGGTCAAGGCGAGAAGACTGCCTGAGCCCACAGGTTTGAGACCAGCCTGGGCAACTTGGCAAGACCTCATCTCTACAATAAATTTTAAAAAATTAGCTGGGCGTGGTAGTGCACACCTGTAGTTCCAGCTACTTGGAAGGCTGATGCTGAAGGATTGCCTGAGCGCAGCAGGTAGAGGCTAAAGTGTCCGTGAGCATGCCACTGCATGCCAGCCTGGGCAACAGAGCGAGACTCCAACTCAAAAAAAAAAAAAAAAAAAAGAAAGAAAGAGAATGCCAAAAGTGCAAAGCTTCATGACAGCTCTGGAATAATACTGTATATCCTGCTAGGGATAGGAAACAAAATGGTCAGATTGTTGTTTTCTTCCTCTTAGAAGTTTTGGAGTTTGCAAACCAGCACAGAACAAGAAGTAGTAAAGTTTAACCATTATTTCTAAGCACTTAAAAACTCTTACATTGAAAGGACAAGGGACTAATGACAATTATCTCCAAGTGACAGATTATTAGTTTTTATATCTTTTTTGTGTTTTTTGGAGGTCTCCCACATGTAATTTAATGAACAGGTATAATCTCATAAGCAGGAAAAAAAATTCATGATTTTTGAACTACACCAAAATAACGTCAACAAAGAGTGAAGAAACAGATTCTACTATGGTGCTTTCTACACAGGAACATGAATGCAGCCAGGATAAGAAGTAGATACACACTGAGAGGGTGACTAGCTATTCACCCAAACCTACTTCTTTTGAGTTGGAGTCCCACTCTGTCACCCAGGCTGGAATGGTACGGTGGCACACTCATGGCCACCGTAGCCTCAACCTGCTGAGCTTAGGCAATCTTTCTGCCTCAGTCTTCCAAGTAGTTGGAACTACAGGCGCACGCCACCACGCCTGGCTAATTTTTTGATTCATTGTAGAGACAAGGTCTCACCAAGTTGCCCAGGCTGGTCTCAAACCCTTGGGCTCAGGCAATCCTCTTACCTCCACCTCCCAAAGTGCTGGGATTACAGGCGTGAGCCACCACACCTAGCCCCAAGCCTACTTCTTTATCTTCCTGGAGTCACATCATATTTCCTAGCTCCCTTAGCAGTTCAGTATGACCGTGTGACCGAGTTCCAGCCAATGGGACAAGAGAAGTGCATGGAATACATGCTACTTCTAGACACAGCCCATAGAAACCCTTCATGTGCAATCCTCCATACTCTTTGCTGTTCCAATGTCTTCATGGAGGCAAGCCCAGCAACCTTGAAAGCATGTATTGAAGATGGTGGAATCACAAAATGGAAGCAGCCTGGATCCTTGAATTACCTCTCTCCATTTTCCCGTCAGGAAATATCTAACTCAAGTTTTCAAGAACTGAAAATAAACTTTTATTGGTTTGTCATTAAAGTTAGTGGGGTTATTTGTTATAGAGTTTACCTTATCTTACCTAATACAGTGGCAGAGAGATATAAACTTTGTCTACAATTTTGGAATCATTTCAGCTAGTAAACTATTCAAGGAAACTTTTAGTATATGCATCTGAGATGAAAATGTTTCACAACATAAAAAAATGTTTCACAACATAAAAATATATTATTTATATTTAATATAAATAATAAATAAAGTAATATATTTTACTGGCAAGAGCAAAATGTGTTGAAAAACAAACAGGTTTGATTACAACATGCTAAAACTCACTAAGACAAGACTGACGATGTTGAAAGCTACTCAAGTTGGGTGATTACTAGTCCCTCTACTTTTTTATGTTTGAAATTTTCCGTAATTAAAAGCCTTTTGTTACAGAAAATATATATTTTAATAAAATCCAAATCTCCCCCTCTCCCTGGCCTGGTACCCTAAAAGAAAAAGCTTAAGCAGCCAGGCATGGTGGCTCACGCCTATATTCCCAGCACTTTGGGAGGCCAAGGTGAGAGGATTCCCTGAGCCTATGGGTTCAAGACCAGCCTGGGCAACTTGTAGAGACCTCATCTCTACAGTAAAAAAAAAAAAAATTACCCAGGCGTGGTGACGGCCCATGTCTGTAGTTCCAGCTACTTGGAAGGCTGAGGTGGAAGGATCACCTGAGCCCAGCAGGTTGAGGTTGCGGTGGCCATGAGCGAGCCACTGCACTCCAGCCTGGGCAACAGAGTGATACTCTGACTCAAAAAACAAACAAACAAACAAAAAAAAAGCTCAAGCAATTTACAGCGACACAAAGTTCCTCAAAACAAGTAGTTCCCAAACCACCATGGTAAAATTATGCTAAAGTAAAAAATAATAATATTCTTCATAAATCTTATCTGATTTCTTAAGGTTTTATTTACTCTTGTTTTTAAAAGGTCATAGCTTAAAAAATAAAAGTATGTAAAGAGGTAGACTGGGAAGTGAGATACCTGGATTCTGGCCAGGCTGGATAACCTTGAACAACTTATTTAACCCTTTCCCAGACCTCAGTATTCTCATGCCTAATCTAAAGACACTAATTAAATAGGATCTATTTCTAATCCATTCTTTTTTTTTTTTTTTTTTTTTGAGTTGGAGTCTCACTCTGTCACCCAGACTGGAGTGCAGTGGCCGCTCCTGCCCACCGCAGCCTCGACCTGCTGGGCTCCGGCGATCCTACCGCCTCAGCCTTCCAAGTAGCCGGAATTACAGGCATGCACTACCACGCCCAGCTGATTTTTTGATTTATTGTAGAGATGAGGTCTCGCCAAATTGCCCAGGCGGGTCTCGAACCCGCGGGCTCAGGCAATCCACTCACCTCAGCCTCCCAAAGGCGCTGGATAACAGGCTGAGCCACCGAGCAGGCTCTAATCCATTCTTTTGTAATTCTACTAACTGTTTTGGATAGCAAATCCAATTCCCGTAAGTGACAAGTCAAGGATTCAATCATGAAAGGAAAGATCATGGCTTCTACTTTGCCAAAGTAAAAGTACAGAACTTTGCCATCAGTGACTAAAGAACCCAAATCTGATAAGATCAGCTTCTAACAAGTTCAGCATCTCTGGCACTCTGCAAAGCAGCATCAAATTGCCCCAGGCAAATCACATCTCTTCAATTCAGCTCAGACCCTTCAGAGTCCATTTCGCCCCATCAACAAAATGAAAATACAGTACTCCTTTGTTTATTAAATAGGGAAATTCTGTTGAGAGGCAAAAGGAGGTGAAGAATTTGCAATGAATTCAACCTGCCAGGAGAGGGAGTTTAATACCGGGCTTCTAGAAACAGGCTAACAACCGCAACTAGAAACACAGGTTTCCACTTGCCCTGCCAGACAAGGCTGAGAAAATTTAGCACCAGACAGGTTAAATGACTTACCTGTAGACAGCTGCACTCTGAGACTTCTGTGACCCCTTCTAATTCTAAAACATCACATGTCCATGACCTTAATAACAGAAGGAAAGGAGAAAGAAGTTCTGAGAGTAATAGAAAGTCTAGTTAGAGAGGAAGTTGTTTCTAAAGCTGATTTTCAAGACAAATTGAAAGAAAAACTCAAAGGCTTCTTCAAATACCATACTCTGGAGTCCCCTGAAGTCATGGTTATATAAGTGTCTGTTGTATGCTGTGTCACTTGCTGTCTCCGCCCCTAACACAGGAGACCAATGTAACCTGAGCTCATCCACTTCGGCCACTGAAAACCCTTACACAACACTGGGAGCTTTCCAAATTGACTTGTATTTCCCCCAAAGAAATGCAAGTGTTCGATTATTTTTCTTTTTTTGGTTTCATTTATGTTCATATTTTTCATATATACAGGAAAGACTGGAAAAGACAAATAAAATGGAAGGATATCTACATATTTTTTCATTCCTGAGTAAAACAAAGAAGGTCAAATATTTCAGCTTCACAGAAGACTGTCCCAGAAAGCATATAGGCCTGCTGGGGGCCAACTGGGAAACATCTCATCTCCTGGCTGGCTGAGTTTAAGGGCAATGGATGCGAAGTGTGGAGTCCAGGCCTCACCTCCCATTTCACAGAGCCAAGCCCCACACTTTACCACTGCAGGCATCACACTGCCACATGGCAGGGCTTATGGGGGACGCAGGAAATGACTCTAAAAGAATACAAGGAGACACATCAGCATTCACCTCAGACACTCTTCCTGCACTTTCTCTTGCTTCTCAGGACTACTCCGGCTACTGGGCAGACTTCTATTATTAAATGATGAATCACACACATTCCTGTCATGTTTGCATAGCACACTATGACTAAGTTCCTCACGGTCTGAGATGAGATTTCATTTGTCTGCATCCAAAGGACCTAAAAAAAGTATCTGATACACAATAAGAGTTCAAACACATTCTGAAGTGACTCAACATCAAAACAAGAATCCACAAAATGATGCAAGATGCTGCGATTTTATCCAAAGAATCAAATAACTATATCTTACGCTCTAAGCACTTGAGAAGATGTTGACATTTAAGTGGCCTGGAGCCTCTTTTAAAGAGTAAGCCAGTGAAGCTACGGGCAAACTATTCAATTACTACCTCCAACGAGTGAAATTTAAGAGCAGTACGTCTCAAATAAGATAATTACATTTGTTGACACTACTATACTTACTAAAACAGTGCTGTCCAATGGAAATATAATGTGAGGCCCAGAGTA